AGCCTCTCTGGGTAGGTGCACTTAAATAAGACGGTCGGAGAAGGTATTTTATTTGGCATTGCTAAGCTGAGTGCACTTACATGACGGGTTTGTGTGTGCATGTTTGACTGGCAAAGCACAAATATCTGCAGTAACCTGACGTTTCTCTTTGTCCGGGTCCATGATGGCAAACATTACATGCCGATTGCAACTTAAGAGAACTTAAAACATAAAAGTCTGTCGTTTATCATTCATTAGGACCAAGAAGATTCTCCACCCACAGCACTCTGCCTGCATGTCGCTCTGCCCTGTAAGCCTGCATTTCTCTCCTTTTGGGCTTCACAATCTCTCCAATCTCATTCCTCTCTGCTGCACTGGTCAAACGTCTTCCTCCTGTGCACTTTCACCTCTTAAAAACATCTCTACGCTGTATGCCTCACCCTCCCCACTCTCCCTTCCATCTTCCCCGCGCTCTGACCCCCATGTCTGGCTCATTCCGCCTGCTTCCTGTCGCAACACCGCTCCCCCAGTGTAATGGTCGCTGTCTGGAGGCGCTGCGGGCGTGAAGGAGGTCAGGCAGCAGCTGGGGGGGGGGGGGGGGGGGGGGGCAGGAGAAAACTCCTTCAGCCTCCCAGGACTGAGGTGGCAAAATCCAGTTAGCCAGCCCTAAGACTCCAAAATAATAATGAATTAAAATGCACGAGATTAGTATTAGTACTTTTTTAAAATTGCGACCAAAATACGTTTTTGGAGCCAATGTTTTAAATCTAACCTTGCACAGTATTTTTCTTCGTCCCTTCGTCCTTTTGTCGGGCTGGAATCAGAAACGTTGCCTGCAGCACATTTTTGTAGCATTGCATTCTTACAAAAAGCCCATTGGATTTTTCAATTGGATTATTGCAGAAAATAATTTCTAAGCCAAAACGTTTCTACGTTTCAATATAAACTAACAACACCATGTTTATGTGACTTTATTTCACCACCTGTGGAGTGGAAGGCGGACAATGTGTCCGCTTGAAGCCAAACCGGTTTAAGCCCATTAACTAATCCGGGAAGACCTGAAATGAATTCATCTCTTTTTTCTTTTTCTTTAAATCTCTTATGAAATTAAACTATTATCTTTGAAAACTAACTGACTCTGCAGCACATTCATCATCAAATACATGTTTCCATCACCTCTGACAAGACTGTAACAATTCCTTCCTGAAGCCTGCAGCAGCCCCAACTTCACTCTACAAAAGGAACTGTAATAAAAAGCCCACACAGCAGCCAAAACCCAAGCATGGGGGGTTTGCCCTCCCAAAAACCCCCCATCAAATCTCAACTTTCCTCACCTAGTCTTGTTTGAACCTTTGTTCAAACTTTAATCATCACCCGTCTTGACCACTGCAACACCAACTGCGTCTGCTGAAGTATTCTTTAAATTGAAACTCTATCTATCATTCCCCCAAATCGTGGATGTCCTTCTACCATTCCCTCCTTGAAAAAAGGTTATTATTAATGGAGCTGCAGCCTGAGCCATGAAGTCCATCCAGCGCTCTAAATTCTGCCACAACAGGCCTCTTTCCCGGCTGTGAGACAACCGCGTCATCGCTTCTTCTGGCTGTGCTGGATTTTACTTCCGTCTCCTTTCGGTAAAGACAAATGAGTTATTTTTCATCTTCCTCAATCTCTTCAAAAGTATGTGTCTCACTGGGTCCTCACCTCATATTTGTCAAGTACTCAACCGTTTTTCTTCTACGATTTACTTGTACATTCCTCTTCTGAGCATGACATGAATGGACCAAATACCTGCGCAGTAAAGTGTGACTGTGAGCAGATTTCTCAAGTGAGATCGCGGCGAGTTTATCCGTCTCGCTTGCTTCACACACCATTATTCACCCTCTCACGCGTGACACGCTGTGATCGGAATAGACGGCTTTGCCCACGGAGAGGGAATTTCCACAGTAGATGTCAGGGAGAAAGTCTTCTCCCACATGTGCATGACAGACACATAATGGAAGCAGGTTCTTAACGTCAACCTCAGTGTCGTCTGGGAAACCAGCGAGTGTAGCAGAAGACACACGCGCATGCTTTAAGGCAGAGATACAGGCTACAATACAGAAAAAAGGGGAGTCAGCAGGTGACGCTGGCCGTGGCTGCACCTGTCTTTTCAATGTGACTCTTGTCATCGGCGTATCGGAGAGTGCATCCGTAAAGTGTGCACACTGGAACCTTCAGCCGCCTGATCGTGCATCATTTGTGTTCAAAGGATCAGCTGTGAAACTGTGGATATACACGTGGAGTTTCTTTTAAATTATTCACAATAAAATTCCCCCTTGAATCGCGGAAATGCCGGCAGTGCAGGTAAAAGGGACGGGACGATCATAAAAGGCATCAATCAATTCAACAGCAGGCTGCTGCTGTCAGGGAGGTGCAGCTGGAGGACAAAGCAGGGAGGATGAGGGGGAGGTGTGTGTGTGTGGGGGGGGGGGGGTTCTTTCCTTAACCCAGAGAACCAGTCACTCTCTTCATTCACCTGCCACACATTGCATCAAATATTCAGAATGGACAGGTGGTAATATGTTTTACTTTCTGAAACTTCTGCTGAAAAGTACCGGTTGAGAAATGTTTTCTCTGGTTTATCCGCTTTCTGAGTGCACAAGACGTTGTTTTAAAGATATAATCATGCTGATAGTGGAGTTTTTGATTTGTGATCCTGGGTTGTAAAAAATAAATTGAATTAAGAACTTTAAAAAAAACAGTTTTTGGACCAATATGCAAACAGAGACTCTGTTGTCAATACCAGATGCTTTGAACATCCAACCATCCAGCCCACCTCGCGCCGTCAAGGCAGTGTGGGCGCAGCAACAGCAGCGACGCTTCTTCTTCTCAACAAGTTACGCCGTTTGTGGTCACTTTGTCAGGAAATTACTTTTATTTAGGTTAGGACTATTAATTTGCACACACACGTGGCAGGAACGAGATGTAGCAAATCACAAATATGAACAGAGTAGATTCTACACAGACACACTTTTGAATTCACAATATATTTAATCTGTGAAACGCTGTGAAGATGTTCTCGCTTGACAAGTTCTGTCCCACACATGCAGGCGACAGTGTGATACTGAATTACTGCCCATGATCGAAAAACAATTTCAGACTGTCGTTATGCGGAGATAACAAAAGAAAGGTGTTGCTTTGCTGCACTGTGTCTTAGAGAAACACAAAATGTTGTCTGCCATCAAAAACATGTTATTTTGATGCTCCACATCAAGCTTGTAATCTCGTCGTTTTGCCAACAAGCCGCAACAGATTTGTGCCACCGCATGGACACAAGACATAAAGGAGTAACAGGGTTTTAGGGAGTGACTGTTTAGCATATGAAACAGCGTCTCCCTTGGGACAGTCAAATAGTGAGCCAGCTCCTTTCAGCAGACCGACAGCCTTTGATTGCAATCATTCACCATTTCCTCGCCGTTTCCTCAATTTGTCTGTGATCTCTGGCACTTCTTTTATTCAATCAGAGCTGAGATTGAAGTTGTTCGCTGCCTATTCTCCAGAGCAGACCGAGTTGGACAGTCTACCGGAAAGGAACAGAACCAAAGTAGATGTAGATGCCAGAAAGGCCAGAAAGACAAATTAGCTTTCAATTCAAATATGATGAATTCACTAATGTCTTGGCAGGATATGTCGTGGACATATTGGCTGAATATCAAGTTATTTTCTATGTTTGGTTGTGTTTTTAGCCTCAAACTATCCAAGAAAAGTGTTTCCACAGGAGCTCATTTATTAAAACTGTTGCGAAAGCCTGGTGGAGTCCACCTCTTTCAAGTATCAGTGGCATGGGTTGATTAGCCCCAATAGAAAAGCATCCATTGTCTCTGTTGTATTAATAACATATATAATATTGTGATATTGTGGCAGTAATGCAAAACAATCTTCCAGTCTGCTGAAAGCTCAGTGCCATATTAACGTGTATGTTTATGCAAAATGCCGCTGCGTGAGTGACAGCGTCCACAGGAATGCATTATAGTTCACAGCATCGTTAGCATAATTTGCATTGGACAATGCATCGGAAAATGCAAATGTGGGGTTTCATTAAGGGGTTTGGATGGCTGGAGGGAGGTAAGAGAAGAAAGATAAAGTCATCATTGGAGTGATGGCTGGAGTTTTTTGTTTTTCTAAGGCATGTTGTTTTCCCCATTGTCAATTTACTTTTAAGTGTGCCACTTAAAAGCAAATTGACTGGGAAAACAACAGGACTTATCAAAACAATAAAAAGAAAAACCTGCATAGTCAGAGGCTTATTTTTGTGAGTCTCCCTGTCGGTGTGTCCCACTGGGGAAAGTTTTACGTTAGCTGCCGAAAACTGGTTTTGGACGGATGGAAGAGGGAACCGAGTGCACTCACGTCCGCGGAGAGGTATTCGGATGCAAGCCAACGATAATGCACTCTAGCTCCAAATGAAATGGTTTATTTCTCTTTTCAAGGCTGCATTTCACCTACAAGTGCAAAAGAAAATAACAGGCATTCTTGTACCGGAAGTCTAATCAAAACACAATTACAGCCTCTTCGTTGTCTTTCTCCGCCACACGGCCCAGTTACAGTTTTTATCATGTTGGTTCAAAAAGGCACCACTTCATGATGTGATCAATTCATTGAGGCGTTGCCGAGAAATGTTATTCATGAGAATGGATGATCAGACAGACAACGCAATGCCTCATCCGGATTAGTCATCCGCAATCGTCCTTCAATTCAGAAAAAGAATGTAAGAAAACAAATCTGTGTTTGTCTATATTTGCGCCTTAAGCCAATGAGCTGAAAAACAGTGCACTGGTATTTTCCACTACTACTGCTTCTGTCTCCTCATCTCCTAGAGATCTCTTTTCCTGCTCCCTCAGCTCTCTGTTCCTCTCCATTCATCAAACCAGACACCTCAAACTCCTCTAACTTCTATTCCCAAAAGGGAAACGAAAGTCAAACGCTTTGGTGTCACTTGCCGGCTCACTTCTTCGCTCTCTTTCCCTCGCTGCGTCCAGGTGAGCGGGATCAACGCATCCCTGAGTAGGAAGCGCGAGCAGCGCGTGTTGTTCATGGTGGTGATCATGGTGGTCTGCTACCTCTTGTGCTGGCTGCCCTACGGCATCATGGCCCTGATGGCCACCTTCGGGCCGCCGGGACTGATCACGCCCGTGGCCAGCATCATCCCCTCCGTGCTGGCCAAGACGAGCACGGTCATCAACCCTGTGATCTACGTCTTCATGAACAAGCAGGTGAGGGTCTGCTGTGGGTTGATATCAGAGAAATGACTCATTGTTTTGTTGTTCTCATCAGGTGTAATTCCCGCGCCTTCTTGACTCTGAATAATCCAAATGATGTACCCGTGTATGAATAGCAAGGTGTTTTTTTCCACATTTTAATCCATCTATTTGTTACAGATTAGCAGGGAAAGTATGTAAAGTAGCATCACAAGGTCCAATGTCCAATGACAAACTAATCAACAGCTCGATGAGAAGGCAGAGTTGGACAAATTAAGTATAATATGCAATCACCTAACTCAACCCTTTCATGTGGGTCTAAACAATTGCTACTATTAAGTGACTTTTTCAAATCAGAAGGGTTATTTGCGATGTCATGAAGGCACCCAAACCTTCCCGAAGTGTTGACAATTAGTCTCACAGTGCTCAGTTAACTTTGACTCACGTCCACTTTAGACATCATCATGAATCGCTTATGAAGTTATTAACACTCTATTTGGGGCTCCCATTCTTAGCTTGTTGTTATAAGTGGCCCGGGACTATTATTATAACTGCTATAATACTTTCTTCTGGTATTTAATTACAAAATGCCTGTGCGGAGGAAATAAAGAAGACACAATCACAAGACTCTTGTAATTGAAATGAACTAAGTGTCACAAGACTCTCAGTTAATTTCACATGCAGTTCATCACTACTTTTAGCACCGTAACTGCTGGACATATTGGTGTTTCACTTGTGCGTTCCTCTAATGTGTCACTTGATTGCTATATAAAAATATTTGTATTATTATTATATATTTAAAAATTCAGCATTTCATGGATTTGAAAAATAGGAAAATACCCTCATTAACTAAACCGGAGCATTTCATCTTTTAAGCTGATTAAACAAATGAATGCCGTGATAATGTGCTTTAGAAAAGCGCGTATAGTATTTATTAAAAGTTTAAGACCCCAAAACTCATCTAAACTGCTTCAAAGTGACTCTGTGGGTGTGTTGGTTTGTTCTGATTTGATCAATAGCAACGAGACAATGTATTGATTGCTGCAGGGACTTGTAGAGAAAGAATTTCAGCACATTTAATAAAAATCCCTACTTTTTCAGAACTTTCTAAGTTCTACTATTTCAGAAGGGCTACAGAAGAAATGCTGCAACCATCCGTCACAAGTTAAAGGGAGGAGACAGATACGCTTTTGGGGGCATCCGGGCTTTTCTGGCCGGAGGGCCAGAGAGACAGCAGGCAAGTTGGAAGGCAGTTGGGACATGAACTCCAGCATCAGTTTCGTCAGTCATTCCTTGTGTTATGCCACCAGGGTGCACATGTGGACAACAACATCCAACTTTAGATCCACTTATATACACGGTTGATTTTTTATTAAGGACACAACGCCTTTGTGTTTAAATAGTTAATCAGAGCTGAGCTTTAAAGTAAGTGTTTCATCACTGTGTAACTCCAGCTGTTGTTCAATCACTCGTTCTGTTGGAAGGTTTTAATGTTGACAACTTCAGGTTGGCGTGAGACATACAGTAGCTCCAAACAATGGTTTAAATGGATCAGAGATTGTCTTTGCTGAAAATGTAATTAGGCTATTGCTATGACAACAACCAATGTTTTGATGGGCTAAATAAAACGTTTGACCTGTTTTATAGGGCGGTTCACACAAACCTCAAAAAGTAAGAATAAAGAAATTTAACAGATAAAAAATTCCACAAAAGAATCAGGATTTACTAATCAGCAAGCCGACTTCCTTGCAGATTCCCCCATTTCTGTGTCTGCTCACGTTCTCATTAACTTTGCTTGCTGCCTCTGTGTTATATTCAGGTTGGTTTTGCCTCAGCCTTAAAGCCAGCAGTAATTACTTACACGCCAGCAAACACAACTATTAATGAATATCAAACAAAACAAATGCACGGTAGTCTTTATTTCCGTACGGCTTAACAACCTCAGTAGATATATATACTCATATGTGCTTTGCGTCTGTGTTTAAACATCCACCTTCTCCAAGTTTGTGATAACAGCAGCTGCAAAAAATGTCCGCGGAGCAAACTCGCTATTACAACGAAATTGCCTGCTGACAAGTTGTGTTTACAGAGGAAATGAGATGCGTGCAGCAGCATTGCCTTGTGTGTGCTAGTTATGCAGCATGAACTACTTAGGTAATGCTACTTTCCAGCTACGTCATGCTGCTCTTTGGGTGTGTTTGGCAGAGCAGCACTGAGCTCTAAAGGTGACGCGCTGCTATTTAAACGGAATCCATACGCAGCATCAAAAGACTACGAAAATAACAGCCGGGTTGAAAATATTTTCCTTCCTTTAAAACGTAAGCGTATGACTGTGTTTAAATTTAGACAATGAAGTTTTTTTGTTTGTACTAGGTCAATTTAAGTTGTTGGATGTATTAGTTTCACAGACAAAATGCCTTATTGTTCAATAAGAAATTCACAACATTTAGGGTTTATATTTTGGTCTGGAAATTGACTTGTCACTTTCATTTACCAATTTCCACTCACTGCAAAGGTCTTATGTAAAAAAATATATATTCACTTTCAATGAAAATGTTCTCTTCCGCAATGCAGTTCATCACGGTGAGAGAAAAATAACATTAGATAACCCGCTGCTGCAGACTGAAACAGCGTTTTGCCCTTAATGTAGTCTGTATCATCCCATCACGCTCTCCCATCAAGTGAAGCACGAGACGTTGTTCGATGTATTAGAAAATATTCTATTCAGACTCTGAGTTTAATGTACTGTACAGAGAATGATATACAGTACTGTATATTAGAAAGTAAATCGCATCACAGCTTCCAAAGCAAATCAAGCGTTATTCTTTGAAGATTAAACTTTCCTCAGAGAGTTGCCATGAAAACTATTGTGAGGTTGAAAATCAACACGGTTCCAGATGTTGCGACGTCCGCTGGAAGTACACGAGAGCCCGTCTGTTCTATCTCACGCTCGCTTCTTACTCAAGCCCACGCCGCAGATATCTGACCTCACAGGGAGCGAAAGTGGGAGAGAGGGACACCCAATGTCCTGTATGTCATTTTCAGTCTTCAATTCCTCCCAGCCCGTTACTATGGAAACTGTGAGTTGAGGCGAGTTGAAGACTAAAAATGCTGTACAGATACAAGTAGCAGCTGCTGTGCGTTTGTCCCATCGACGAGGAACGCCGCACACAGCCGGCCTGAGGTGGATGTCGGGTAAGTTTACACTGAATAACCTTTTTTGTTTCATGTGAATATGTTGAGGTTTGTACTTTATGATTTGGCAGTGTATATGACCTTTGCCGTCAACACCGATTCAATAAATACATTTACATAAAATGGTGTACATGGGAGAGGACTTGAACAGTGAAGGAATAGATCAACACTTTTCTGTTAGAGTTAGATGTTAAATCTGTGCCTCTAGTCTGTAGGGGGAGAAACGGCTCACTTTGCCCTGTACAAATTAAACAAAACCCACATACCATCAGCTACAAGGCTCATAAAGTTAAAGCCCATTTCTTTCATCAGAAAGAACAATATCTTTCATATTGGGAGTAATATATAATTAAAATGTCTCTTTTATTACATCAGAAATAGAAACATGTTTCAGGGACAAAGGAGCTCAACATCTGGTATGCAGGTATTAAAACAAACACAAAGAAAAATGATGTTCTTTTTATTAGGTCATTCAAAATAAAAAAGAAAGCTCAACAGTGCAGCGAGTCCTTGGCAGGCAGAAGTACTTTGACAATAATATGTTTCTTGTTAAATTATTTAAATGTATATGTAAATGCCTTGTATACCTGTTTAAACAGGATGCATCTGAAAAATGATAATAGAAATCAATGAAGTAAAACATCAAGTAGAAGTATTATTTACAGGGAGCAGCTTATTTAATCATCTAAAAATCCTCTTGATCGTCAGGCCACTTTGAACAAAAATGATGTTTACGGTGCACGTGGAACCGCTCCGTTGGGATGGATCATGTCCTTTGCTCTTTTCCATCACAGAAATGAGAAATCTTAACTGTGATATTTGAAGGTCCCAGTGTGTGGAAATGATTAAAACACTCAATATAAAACCCACTGCAGCCCTTGAATCACAAATTTGCCACAAAATGATTGTTATTCTGTTCGCACGCTCCTGTTTTGACACTCATTATTTTTGAGTGCTGTTTTTATTAATACTGGGAAGCTCATGGAATCAAATTAAGTCACGCAATAGTTGAATGAAGTAGTGGGTTACGCTGCACTGACAGGTTTTTGATAGCAGTGTCAGAGGGAAATGGAGTAAAATCTAATAATTAATGCATGCCGCATATATTGCCTCAGATATTGCGTGCATAGATTTGCGTTATGCTGGACTTGATGTCTCCCCTTGCAGGAGCCGTGTGAACTGGTAATAATTGTCCTGAAATATCGATGTAGATGTAGAAACCTTAAAATCTGAGAAAACACCCCATGCCTCAATAAATTGGTTAGCATTTTATTGCCTTAGATCAGTGGTTCCCAAACTGTTTCTCTCACGTCCCCCCTTTGAGGATATAGTAAGACCCCAGTTTGGAAACCACTGATGATTCCTCATATTTGCCCCTCTTGCTGTCATGCTCCTTCCGTGAAGGATCAGCTCCGCTGATTGAAAGCGTCGGCCGATACCGATGAGACCAGTCGTCTCCGACGCCCCCTCTCTTTTTGAAAATACTCCATCCGTGCATGTCGCTCCTTCCCTCTCACTGTCGTACTTCATCTTCTTATCTGTCGTTGCCTTTACCTTTTCTTGACCTTCAGCCTTGATGCCCCTGTGTCTTCACTCGCTTCATCCTCTGTCCTTTTTTCTGATGATGTCTACGTCTCCTTCTCTTCCATCTGTCTCCTACTCTCATTTTCTATGGACAGCTGAGGGGAGCAGGGAGCAGCATCCACATTGCATCCACATTTCAGAGTTGTGGTCTCTTGATTCTTTGCATCTTGGCGCTAGAACTCTCTTAGATGGCCCACGTGTTGTGGACGGACGGACAAAGGGGGATCAGCGTGTGTTGCTGATAGATGTGGTGAGGAGAATGTTCTGGTGATGTCCTGAGGCAGATCCTCTTTCTGTCCCTCCTGCTCTGCACCTTTTTATGCCCAGCAAGTATTTGACAGACATGATGTGCAAGAGAAGTTCAATGTCAAGTTGAATCATTGCAAAATTTTAAAAAAAGAAAAGTGAGTTGGGGTTGCTGTTAAAATTGATGTCTGAGAGTTTCATATTAAATTTTCTTCCCACTTACTTTTTTTACTGCCTCTTAGTACGAGCCCAAATCATTTCTTTATTGTAACAGTTCGCTGAGCATCCCGTTACTTGTATTAATTGCATTTCTTTTAAAGTGTTTGGAGTAATTGATGAATCCATCAAGCTACTATTTTGTGTCTCTCTCTGTTCACAGTTCGAAGGTTTTCTTAATATGTTCATTTGAAAGTCTCCCCTTTAGCGAGATACTAGCTGCTTTCATCGTATTTTGTGCTTATGAGAAAATGTAGTAGACTATAAGTATACCTGTACCTGTATGTATACTAAGTACACTACGTTTACTCAAGAGTGGCGGTCTTCAGAGCCCCGATTTAACAGAAGCTGAGGAAGAGGACTTGAAAATAATCTTAATTGGGGTCTGTGTTGTGTATATACTGGATTTGGTTGAAAATGTCTGGAATTTTAAGTACAGCCAAATACCCCGAATGCATTGTTATGCTTTCAACCTTCAACCTGCTGCGGGGTACCTCAATTATTCAGAATCTTCCCATCTGTCTATCATCAGATAGCAGGACTTTGAGCCGGGTAATACACGGGCTCTGTGATGTGCAGAGGTTGGTGTTGAACAGTGACATCAAATCACAATCTGGAGCTTTACAGATCTGTTACTGGGTTGAAAAACATATCCAGGGGCCCATTCATCGTACCCAGTCAGATTGAGTATACATTTCAATGTTTTTTCATGTGTTGGAACTCTTTGCGCTTGCTAGAATTCAGTATTTGGGGCGTAATCTTGAAAATGCTTATGTAAATCCCTAAAACGTTAACAGTTTAACGAAATATATCAATAGTATTATCTTTTGTTATCTGGTCAGGCTGAAAGTCACCTGTAACTAAAATAAATAAACAAACTAAAAAGTTTCCAACTATTTGATTCAGTGCTTTTCAAAAATCTATTTCTAATGTATTGTTTCATTCAATTAGGTCTTTGATTATGCCATAGGAAAACATATTTAGAAATAAAATAAATAAAAAAAATGAATGAAAATGAATGAAGTCAGCTTTTTCCTCATTAAAGGAACACGTTTACTCTGCTTTCCCCTATCGGACCATTGCCACTTCATTGTTTTAGAACACTAATACGGCCCCTCCTGCGACTATTATATTGTCATAGAATTATTGACCAAGTTTGTATTATGGTTTATTTGCAGAGGAATATTACACTACTGGAAAAAATTAACCTTAAACTCAATGATTTTTGCCCTGTGCGAGTTAAAGTTTTACATGGCTGCATTTATCCGAGCGCGTGATGATCATTACAGAGCAAAGACACGAGCCGCAGTCTATTCCACCCGTGACTCCAAAGTCACCTTGAGGAGGAAGCATTGAGCAGCTGCCAGCTCGCAGGGAGGTTTGAGCTCCTGCTCTTTGCAGACCCCGGGCTTAAGGGATAGCATTTGTGCATGCTGTAGACAGAAGCACTCACATTAGGCTATATATTACACAATACACAATATTACACTGTTATTATTGATGCATTAACACGGAAGACACATGCTAATATATTACAAGTCTCCAGTGTGTTGTATTTCATATCATCAATACCTGGATTTTATGCAGATCTATGTCAACAGAACTGACACCAGGGTTTAATTAAGAAGCTGAATATCCAAAAATGAAAATATTTTTATCGGCAGGGCCTTGCGTCCTTGTTGTATTCTTTACTTATTTTTGCATTTGAGTTGCATTCCTGATCCGTTGTCTGTGGTCTATGCTTGCCCCAGTTTTACAGATGTTTCAAAGCCCTACTGCGTTGTGAGGCTCCTCGACCGAGCTCCAGCTTAAAGAGCTCCTCCAAAGTCCCCACCAAGGCCATGAGGGGTGCAGCGGTTACTGGTCCCCGGCACACCAACAACTTCCTGTTCGTGGTGGCCTCCCTGGGTCGTCCGGTGGCCACCATTCCCCAACTGGGCCCCTCAGTGGAACCGACCATCGATGTCACCGGAGGCCCCTCGTCAGACAACAACAAACCTGTCATAGTATCACTGGTGGCTCAATGCGATGGCTGATGAGCGGCTATGAACATGAAATGCCCAACAAGGAAGTAATTCAAATATGGGAGTTGTCGTGTTTCCAGGCTTGGAGAGCAGCAGCCTGCAGGAACAGGTAGATTTAAAGCATCAGCTTGGCATGATGGGGCGGTATCAAAAGACAGATCTGGCATTGTAATAGAAGATAGTAGGGCTGATTAATATTGTGCAATATCTAATGTTTGGTACAGCATTACAGCGTAACAGAGATGTGTCTGCAGTATAGGAAGAGGGAAACGTGTTTTCGTATTGACTGCTTACTGACTGTGGTTGCAAGGTGGGGTTGAAGAACAGAAGCTGTTTATTACCCTTCAAAATTAAACGTACTTCTAGAGTGGAAACAACTAAAAAGATGCCAACGTTCAGGAATGTACTGATGGATAATTTATCAGTCTTTTTGGCTCTCATTCTCTGCCAGTAATCCAATTAATCACATTGCGTACTTTGTCACTTTGAAATGCATAGGCAGTGTTCAAATATAATCATTGCTACCATGCTAGCTGCATTCAAGTTGTGTTTTTTTAAAACTCAGAATTGGATTAAAGCCAAAAAAACAACCGATTTCCGTGGAACTTTAACGTGCGAGTTGTCTGTGATCCGTAGCAACAATTAGCAGCTCAGTGCCTTGCTCGTACGCACATGGTGGTCAGCAGCGCACATGGACGGGTATCAGCAGCAGCATGTAAAATACTCGCTTTAAATACCGACGAGAAGAGGAAATGATTTTTCAAGCGTCTCATGGGACATAACGGAAAGATTTCATCGAGGGAACAAGTCTTTTTGATGGAACTGGGTTATTCTGTATATATTGATTGCCGTGTGCTTGTCTGCATTTTGTAAACATTTTTCAAAACTGATTTGACACTTTCCTCCATTACGAAGATAACTGGAGTTTCACAATCAGTGCATCAACGCTGTGTTCAGTGACTGTCTAAGCGATAAGTGGTGTGGTACTGCTGCATAGCTCACAATGTTTCACTTTTTTGTAATTCACCTTTAGCCACTGTTTTATAAGTGCAGTCAAGATCTTGTATACATTGATGTACATTAATTAATACCAAAGCAAAATAAATTTGAATATTTTTTGAGTTCAAAGAAGTAAAATAATACTTTAAAATAAGAAAATCTAAATGAATGTGGAGTTCTTTCTTCTAACTAAGACTTGAAGAAGTGGGAGGCGTAACGTGTGATGTGAATAGTAGATATTTGTAGTAGGAAAGTCATAATTAACAAATCTATTTTCACCGCTGCATGTGACTAAATCCAACAACTGGTTTTTGAATTGAATTAACTTAACAAAAAAAGTGCACCTGCAGTGCAAGAACAACACGTTTATTTTATTCTACGTGGATGAAGATTCCATATTATTGGCCCAAACTTTCAGCTTCACGCTCAAGTTTCTAGCATGATATCACGTATGTACCAAGTACCAAGTCCTACTGAAACCATAGGAAGTCAGCGGGGGCGGATGTTCTCAACTACCAGCTATTAACAGCTCAGTGGGCCTGATGGCTTTAGCTGATTGAGTCGGTTTATAGCAGATGTTTAGTCCCCCTGCTTCTGTCCAGCTGAGATCACAAAACCATCTTAAGTTTATAAAAAGGAATTTGGAGTGATGAACGTGAACAATTGTTGTTATAACCTGCAAAGAAAATCAGGCTTGATGGGAAAAGTAATAACTAAAGTGAAGTTGGATGTAAAACGAAACAACAAGGTACTGAAAGCCGAACATTGACAAAATGATATATAAACAGGCTTCAAATAGAGGTTACCGCGAGCAAGCGGCTAATGAAGTTACCATCGACTTGATGTGTAACGGGATGAACATGGATTCTCCGTGAGGGTCATTAAATGTCAGGGTACTTCCAACCGAGTCAAAAGTGTTTGATTCACCGTGTCAAACTAAAAATGCCACAAAGCCGTCCCACGATTTAAATTCACTGACAAAGCAAATCATCTAATTGCCCTTATAGTCCTATATATTTATATAATTACAGTGAGATTTGTTTTCATCTTCAGTCTAACCTGGTCAAAAAACCCATTGCTCCTCCGGACGCAGCAGGGGTGAAAGCAGGTTACACATCTACACGGAGATGAGAGCAGCCAAGAACAAATGCCCTTTGATGTTTTTAACCCCCGAGAGGTTCCTCCGGCACAGCCGGACATCAAGTGCTTGAAAGGGCGACTGACAACAAATTAGTTTTTGGATTCATGTGCAATGAATCAAAAACCTCCAAATGATTCCGCGTAATGATTAAAGCCTATTGTATTATGAGCAGTAGATGTTACTGTGATTGTCCTTATATAAACCTTAGATCATCAGTGCGAGACAAGAACAGCACAATCCAATCCATAAACTTAAGTCTCCAATAGAGACTTAGACTGGTTGAAGGACTTAAGGTTGAACAAATCCTTTCTCAGCACAAATTGCAAATCCCTTTCATGCTCCAGGGCGCCTTTGGCGTTGTTTTGGTAATTGCTTCTGTGAAACGCTTGGCGCTCGGCCTCCACTGTTCAATCAGACAAGAGTCAACAGAGGCCCCAATAATCAACACGGCTGTTGAGATATTGCATTTTCCATGTTTGATTGACCAGTTGAATAACTGGAAGACTGACGAAGTGAAGCTAGGATGACTGGAATACAAATTACGGTTCCTTGTCAACCCTTTAAGCCTTTGATAAAGAGCCAGTCAGTTTTGTAGCTGTGGAAAAGTCAGCTTTATTATCTATTGACTGAACGAAAAAATATGGAATGGGATGAAAAGTTGAGCACTAAACAACAAAACTGATTCCTCTTTTACGGGTGCAGATTTGTGTTTCTACAGGCTTCATTTGACAGAATTCAAAGGTAACATCTATCTTCAAATTAAGATATTTTCACAACCTCTAACCTTTTACCTAGAAATGGTTTGCAAACATTACTTCTTTTGTCAGAAAGGGGAAGTTTGCAAGAGAGAAAGACAGGGAGAGGCAATAATTGTGTGTGATAGCCAAACCCTTGCTTCACACAACATTGGAACATATGCCAGCTTTCCCTTATTTATGTTTAATTAAACCAATGCATACTCAACTTGCATCATACTGTAAGTAAATGAGCAATATCAACTTTACTCTTTGATGTCCGCTTTAGATGTTGCAGAGTGTTCACACGTTAAGAGAGGAGCTTCTTCCACCGAGAGAAAGACGAAAGACAAAAGCTACATGAGGACGACTTGGCGACACACCCCTGGTAACCACACCGCTGCAGGTGTTGTGTTCATCAAGCAAACCGAACTCTGACCTTCTATTGGCACCGAAGCACAACAACAAAAAAGTTTCTCATGTGGTGGTATTAATGGTTCCTGCCGGAGTGTTTTTCTTTGACTCCTGCCAAACAAGCCAGACTAAAGAGCTTGTAATTTCAAGCTGCAAGCTCACCGCTCACAGGTCATCCGGATAAAACGCCTGGTAAATGAGTGCAGACAGCACGAGGGATTCCACAGTCAGTCCATTAATAAAGTCCATTGGCACATGAAACGGTTCACGTTCTCCAATCTATACCTTGGACTATGGCAATATAGTGAGAATCAATAAATAGATTTCTTACCCTGTACGTGGATAGCGAAATTGCCACAATATCGCAGATTTGACTACTGTTGCTTAAAAAGAGAAAAGACAACGATTATCTGATATTACATTTTCCTAGATCTAATCCAACCATAACCAGGACTGAGCAGGGCAGACTGTAGGTTTCAGCAAAATTTGATTTGGATGACACGAAAATGAATAAAGCGGAGGTAACAGAATCAAGTAAAGTTTTGCACTGGATGGGTTGTTTTAGAGGAAGTAGCTCCGAGGGAAATCTCCTCTCGTCAGGCAGCAAACACACATTAAAACTAGTACTGAAGCTACCAGACTGTTAATTGAGCCGTCAGTCAGACTAAAACATTTTCAATTCGAAACATAGATTTTTCTGGTCTACGCTACGCAATAGCAGTCGGTGTGACATTAGATTAGATTTGCTGCTTCCATATTTGTGGTCCTGGAGTATAACAGCGCATTTGCTGCATTGAGAAACCAACCACAGCTGAAATCTTAAGGATTAAAACTGTCTTCTAAAACCCTCGGGACATTTTTCAGTAAAGTAAAATGTAAATCCAATAAGTCTAGTAGATAGCCTCCGGTACATTCTCTGAGGTTAAGGTACATTGAGGTATCTAAACATATTGTAAAAGAACCGGCAGCAGCTTTGGGGTTTCTAAAACGTGTCCTTTATTGTCGTCATTAGTGGTTAACATAGAGCCAATTACCATTTCTGCTGTGAATGGAGTAATTGGGGACCAATCTACTGAAGAGGAAAGCTGCTGACAAGACGATACTGTACCTTTTTTAGCCCACATGTGAAATTCCCAAACCACCTGACATTATAGAGACACCGTGAGCTGGAATTAGTTAAGCTTGCACCACACTTAGGCTCAATCATAAGGCTTTAATTGGAGCCACGGGACTCTCGAAGTAAGCGAGGACGACATTATCAGGTCATCTTTCCCGGGAAGTGAAGGAGGAGCCCACGCCGAGTTCAGCCTCCATCATATGTTCATTTCTAATATATTAATAATTAAATCAAAAGCCCTCAATCAAAATTCATATAAACCACAGACAGTTTAAATTGATTACTTATTTAACATATGTTTAAAGGTTGTCCTCATAAGTGCTTTTTTCCACAACGGAGCTTGTTTGGCACAAAAATGCATCCGGCATTCGCAGACAGGAAAGTAAGGAGCAAAATCCATTTAGTGTAAAAGCCAAAAAATCATCTGAGTCAGCTTCCTTTTTTGTCACTGTAACACAGTGATTTATGTTGAAGTAACACCGTAGCTATTATCATCCGCAAGCACGGGCCAAGCTCGGTTATTGAATTGAATTACTCGGCTGGAAGACTGACGTAAGTCGGCTGATGAGGATTAACTAAAGTAATTAATTAATTAAAGTAAAAGTGGGTTAGGGTTAGGGTTAGGGTTAGGGGTTAGTTGAATGCCCGTGGAACTTTAACGTGCTGAAAGTTGAAGGGGAAGGAGAGTAAATCCAAGGCTAAAGGGGAATTATTTTCCTCAAAACCCATTGATAGATGGATACCTGCAAACAGGTGAGCAGATCGATGCATGGGCCATGAAGGGACTACGATGTTGCTGAAATTCAGCCAGGACGACAGCGAGACTAAATCGGATATTCAGGGACCCTGATTTGGTTTCCATCAGCATCTCTCCCCCTTTTTCGTGCCCACCTTCTTTTACCCACCTTCCTCCGTCTTTGTCTGTCCCCCTCCCCCAACTCTTTTCCCCTCTTCTGTCCCCTCGCACGCGTCACCTCGTCATTACTCTCAGAGAGAATTATTTGTTCACCAAATCGCTCGGGTCCATTGCAGCCACACAGCAAATTTCAGAGTTAAACTGACTCTTTGAGATTCTATTTTAACTCTAAGCTTATTGTCTCAATCTTGTCCGTGTTAAATCAACACTCAACAAACTCCAGTAGTGCCATAAATAAATCTGCTCAGTGTTAAATACACTATATGTAGTCATTGACACTGGATAATGACCCCAGCTCTCTGGTACGATTGACTCAGTAACAGTTGAATCCATGTTTTGCAGTGTGATTTCAACTCTGCACCTTTGCCTAACACCAGAGAATTAACTGTAAGAATGTTGCTGTGTAGTGTTAAATTTCTGGAACAACTTCAGTAGCATATGGTTCAAAGGATGCAAAGATGCATCCTTTGAACCATATGATCTGCTCCCTCGAAGATGACTTAAAATTAGCGTCTCTGACCCTCTTTTGAGCATTTTCTGTAATGTAATTGTTTAACCATTAATTAGTGAAATTTAAATATAGACAATAAATGAAGGTATGATATAAGCCGTGAATTTACAAGCTTAACCGGCTTAACTGTTCTCGTGGTTAAGGGTTATATCCCTAAATCTACTACATCGCTGGGGAAAAGTTAATACATCAATAATTATAATCCAATGGTAAAGGCCTACCATGAATACGTTATTTAAAGTGGCGCTACATGAGTACCTTTTTACTTTTGTAGGTTTTTACATTTTCATGACACTTTTGCTGTTTCAATTACCTATTTTGATTTATTTTTT